CAAAAAAAAATTTGGGAGGGGGGCGTGGTCTTTTATGAAAATTAAACCCTTCTTGGTGTTTTTTTCAGAGCATCTGCTGCCTTTTGTATTTGGTTCAGTGCAAATCAAATTTCCATTTATATATTCAAATTTTACCAAATTCACTTAATTTTCATCAATGATACAGGGATCTAAAAACTTTTTGACACCACCCGACCGAGCATAAAATTGTCCCGCCCCACTCTGTTTCTCTGGAAAGATAAGTTAAGGACCTTTCGGTATTTGTTGTTTTGTTGGATTTTTTTCAAACATTACTTTATTACTTTGAGATTAAAAATTAAAACGTTTCTTAAAACGGTGTTTGTGTTTTATTTGAGTACAACGAATTATGACAACAGGTAGATATTGATAATTAAAACACGTTGTATTATTTGACTTGTTTCAATGTTTGTAAAGTTGTTGTACGTGTCTCACGAATATTATTATTATTACGATGGAATGAGAATCAGGTCAGGCAGAAACTGAGAAAGCTCTCGTCGTCCTCCTAGTCCAACTCTCGGGCCGTAGCAAATCCACGGCCAACACAGGTAAGAAATAAAATAAGATCATCGTGAAAATTTGCAGGCACGTGTTGGACAATTATGACATTCAAACCTTTAACATTGGAGTGCTGTAAATTGTTCTGGGTGACCTATTTACGGCAAATAAACAAATATAAAGACCGTAGAATAATTGTAAAATGAAAAGAACTAGGCCTACACATCTTCTAAGTATAAATAAACAAAATACCAATACATATTTCTTTAAACTAATTTGGGATGATAGGGTCTACTAGTACTACGGCACACAAAAATAAATTATGCCGTGACAGACATGGTTTGCGTACGTCGGCTTTTACCATAGCTTTGCCGTTTAATTGCCGTGGTAAATTTCGAGCGCCGAGTTTGTGTACAGAGAAGGACGAAGGGGTTTAAATACGACTGGGCCTTTTTCGAATTTTTTTTCTTTATGCTGGGCGGCAAAAAAAAGTGCCGGGCACAGGCGCCGCCCGGCGTGGCTACATCTTTAAAAATGTGCCTGCAAAAAAAAATTTTCAAGCAAATGTGCCTGCGCACGCCGTGCGCATGTGCGCGGAAATATCGATGCCTGTATTTAAGTAGTAGCCTTACGTTAAGGGGACTAATAAAATGGGTCCGTCTGTCTGCCCGTCACACTTTTTGGGACACAATAACTCTCCTTCTAATTGAGGTAGAATGTTCAAATTATGTGAATACCTTGAAGTTCGAAGATGAACATTTTCTGCTTAGGGTAACCAGAGTTAAGCAATTTGATTGGTTGATGCTTTGGGACACGATATTTTTTCTCTTCGTGGTGAAGAGTAGTGAAACTTGGTGTGTAGTTTCATTGCATCAAGACCTTGACTAAGTTCGATAATAAGCATTTTCTGCTCAGAATAAGCAGAGCGATAAGCAATTTGATTGATCGAGACTTTTGAACACAATAACTCTCCTTCTGATTGAGGTAGAATGTTCAAACGTGTATGCGTTTAGGTGAATGCCCTGATTGAGTGCGAATATGAGCATTTTCTGCTTAGTGTAAGCAGAGATAAGCAATTTGATTGGTTGATGCTTTGGGACAAGATAACTTTAGTTCGAATAAAGTGAGAGTGATGGAACTTGGTGTATAGTTTCATTACATTAATACCTTGACTGAGTTCGATAATGAGCATATTTTGCTTGCACTAAGTAGCGATAAGCAATTTGATTGGTCGAGACTTTGGAACGTAACAACTCTGCTTTTAATTGATGTAGAATGTTTAAACTTGATGTAGATGTTCATTAGCTAAATGTCGTGACTGAGTTTCCACAAAAGCTAAGCAATGACATTGGTCGATGCTTTGGGACAAGAAGACGAAGGGTGGAAAAACTTAGTGTAAAGTTTCACGACAAGGTACTTCAAAACCTTGATTGAGTTTGATCGTAAACATTTTAAGCTTAGACCAAGTATAGATAATCAGTTCGATTGCTCAATACTTTTGAAAAAGATAATTGTGCAATTATTAAATACGTGTCATATTTTTATTTTGGTTTTTGGCAGGGGATATCAGCTTACTTTTGGCTTGTTACATATTTATATGTCCCAACAGATCAAGCAAAGTTAAAATTGAACGGATATTCCAACCCTTATAGCTTGTTTCCAAAGAGGTGAAATACGGATAAATTGCTCACAAATCAAATGTTGATGAGACTAATACATAGTAGAGTATTAAAAGACACATCGTCCAATCCTCAACAAAGGGATCAGTATAACATCGACTGACGACTAAAATTAATATTGGAAACCGTACGGGAATTATTTGGGGTTATGGGGGCGGGGCTTTAGAATCAATCTATGCACTTGAACTATAATTGTCCATGCCCTTTATCTACGTGTTTAAAAAAACAATCGGGAGAGGACACTTTCTATATGTATTGGGCCAGTGATCCTCAACCACGTACGTAACTAACGTACGAAAATTAATTGGTGGCTAACTTTTTTTTCGCACGTATACAGTGAATGGCCATTTTGCTCAGTAATCCCAGCCAGAATTTGGCTATTTTCTAAATCTGCGTTAAAGTTTAAAATATTTGATTTAGAACTGAAATAAATTAACTATTAGTCAATCCCAACGCTAAAAACATCAACAGAATTGATTGTTTATATCTGAAATAGACACGACCGACGCACAAAATAGTGTCAATATGGCTGCAGACGCTGTCAATAGTGTCATTGAAGACAACGTCAATTCTATGAGTTGTAAATGTTATTTTTGTCAAAAATCATTGGAAGAAGAGAGAACATGTTGGGACTGTACGAATTATATAGTCTTTATGGGTGCAAAGGACACAATGCTGAAGATAAACCTATTGTATACAATGTAAGGTGTTGTTGACCTCACGACCCATTGACGTCAATGTCATGGCCTGTGATGTGTAGATCACGTGATATGGATAAGATGGCTATTGACTGTGTCTGAGATACTTCTCCGCAGGTAGCGTGTCTCAGATGTTCAGAATGCCTCAACCAGTGTGCCGCGAAATTTTGAACGGCACACTAATAAAATGTGTGAAAAAAACACGTGATCCCAATTGAATATTCACTGGTGTCCACTGATAAGTTCATAGCTGTGTTTTCTTTTTTTAGTTTAAGTCATTCTATGTGTCTATGACTAGTCTCTGTCTACAGATGTATTCTGTCTGACTTACCATGTTTTTATTTAGCAATATATGTTTCATATATATTTAGCCAGGTGTGTCGCTATTTTTTCATGTGTTTCAAAGTGTGCCGTTGGCAGAAAAAGGTTGAGAACCACTGTATTGGGCAGTTAAAGATAGTTATATCACTATCACTTACATGAAATAAAGTCGGGCCGGTAACCTTGACTACAGGTAGTATGTCTCGGTTTAATACAAATATCGGTTACATGATATTATTTAATATTATTCATTGTGTAAGATAAGCTATAAAAGGAGTAAAAATATTATGTTTTGTTGACATGTTATATGTATATTATTCATTTTAACTTGTAAACCCAATATTTTTAACTTTCAAAAGAAATATCTCTTTTAAATTGATATTGCTAATATCAAAAATTAGTTTCTAAATTATTCTGTATAGCCAATTGCCCTTAAATCCTTGAACAAGCTTTGTCCATTCATTTGATTTTATCGTATATTGACCATGTTATGTATAATATCACTGGTTACTATATCAAATCTATTATTAAACCTTTTTTATGATCAAAGGAATGGTTGAATTTTGAAGAAACCTGTAGCCCTTCAAACAAATATTTTATAAAAAGACTTTATTTTAGTATAAACTATATGGCCCTATAAATAATAACATAAACAGATACATTGATTAGAAATTATTTATTATAAAAACATATTTGACCATATGATGAGGGAGTGTCAATAAACTTTTATAAATCATCTCTAAAGAGAGAAATGAAATGCAATGGGGTTTAACGTCCCACTGTTCTGCTCATATACTGGGCTAATGAAGACGGGCATACGCCATACAGTGTGCTATGAGGGAAATTTTGCCCGGGCAGCGGCACTATCGCCTACTCTTATATTGAATTCCAACTGCCAAGGGATCTTTTACGTACATTCCAATGTATACACGGGACCTCGGTTTTTCGTGTCATCCGAAGGTGTGATACAATACATAACTCTTATTTATTAAAAAGATATTTTAATACTGGATAACATATTTACAGGTACAATTCTACATATGAACGTCATTCGGTTGGGTATAGTAACGTCTGTCTATAGCTGCTCCTACTAGGTCTCAGAAGACATAACTTCTCCGGGGTCGAGGGCAGACCCTCTCCCGAGGTCCGGAAGACCTCTAAGTCTCTACGGGTCTCTCCCGTCTCTCTCCGGGTCTGCTTAGGTCTGCCCCAACCTGATTCTCCACTAGGCTTTCTTATACTGTGCAGCAATACCTGATTCGTTCGTTCGTTCGTTCGTTCGTTTCTGGTGTTGTTTTTTTTTGTTTTTTTTTATTTAAATAGTTTATTTACAAAAGTCATAGGTACACTCATTTATGCATAATAATATTTACAATGCAATATACAATTGGTAATTTAATGTGGTAGGCCTATATACAGTTCAATATATTAATTATATTGTATGATAGATTTATTGATTTATTTATATTTACAATCGTTATACACAAAAGTCAAATTACACTCATATATACATTAATGAGGTATATATATACACAGTTCAATATATTTTTATGCTAGATTTATTTATTTATATTTACAGTCTTTATATACATAGGTCACTATTAAATAATATATACAATCAGTAATATACTACAGTTCTCTAGTGTGGGTCAGCCGCTAACTAAATAAAATGATCGTTGTAATTGCAATCATACATAATACACTTTATAAAATAATATACATTTTAAGTTGTCATCGGCTTAGCGCCTGGTTGAAAGAGAGTGACATACCGTTTCCCTCAGAGAAAGCACGTGCTGGGAGAATTGTGGGATGTCATTATGGCCGACATGACAAGAGGTGAGTTTTGATTATAGTGAATGAATAACGGTAAAACTAGGGCAGCGTTAACATGTTTAAAATTCTATTAATGAATTTCTATTTTTCTTTTGAACATACAATTATTTCGGTGAGTATATGTGTATTTTATTTATATGACAGAGTGTGATAGTGCCATTTAGCGAAAACGAAAGATGGCTAAGATGCCAAGTTATGGCAACTAACACTAACAGTAAATAGCACGGTCAACTTAGTCACGCAATAGTAATAGAGTAATTAATTTAGAAGCTTCACACCGAACGATAACTTGCCTTAGACCGGAGAATTTAGCAAGGCAGAGTAGGGTGAAGCTTGGTGTTTTCATTTATATTTTCTTTTCTTTTCTTTGTGTATAGAATTGGTATATCAGCTGGTTGGAAATATTGGTAGTATAGGGGTGCATTCTGTTAGACCATATGATCCAGAGGTAGAGATAAATGTCATAGTAGTTTTCAGGCTTTACATCATGTAAGTGTAATGTATTATTGTTGATATGAAAGCATTTTGTGGAGTGTATATTGTTTATATGTGTAGCAGCAAAGGATTTAAAGTGCTGTAATTTAGGGCAGTGTAGAAATAAGTGACTGTAAGTTTCATTAGTCTTTTTGCAGTATTGACATTTGTAGTTATCTTCGTAAATATTTCGTGTGAGGAGAATATCTTTTATGGGAACAGCATTGTGTATTATTTTGTACATAAATTCTTTTTCTATTTCAGATAGTGTTGGACATTTATATAAATTATGCCAAACGTTTTCAAAATTTATATGAGGTAGGTGTTTGTTTATTTTTGGTTGTACGTTCTTACTATCAATGAGTGACCAGTACAGGTGTTTCAGTTTAATGTTGTTGGAGTATTTCATGTTGCATTTTAATATGTTGTAGGTTTTTTTGATCTCACTATATTCATGTGGAAGCTTTTCGGAGTGAGTGTATTTGTTAAGGCATATTGTGGTAGATTATCCCTTATGATGAGGCCAAACCAATATATAAATAGACCCATCCAAGGGCTTTCTGTAGGTTTAAATAAGTAAATTATTTTTTGTTGATGCATGGCTTTTACTTTTAAGTCAATGTTTGGAATTTTTAATCCACCTGCTATATAATCGAGATTTAGAGTATTCCTGTTAATTGTTTCACAAGAGTTTGGCCAGATATAATTTATTTATGTTTGTAATGATATAAGGAGAAGGAGCAATGATCCGAGCAACATACCAGAGTTTGCTTAATATGTATATGTTTAGTATGCATACTTTTTATTTAATCGATAGGTTGTAAGTAGACCAGTGACTAATAGTAGATTTGATCGTCATTATGAGGGGTAACCAGTTTTTTTCCTTTTTATTGATCCCAAACCAAATGCCTAGTAATTTAATTGTGTCCGTTTTAATGTTTATATTTCCAGGAAATGAGTCATGGGATGGTTTACCTACACCAACATGGAGGTTTTCGGTTTTATCTTGATTTAGTTGAGAGCCAGATATTGAGCCAAAATTTTTGAATTGTTCAAGGAGTTTACTGTATGAAGATAGACTAGATATTGTTGCAGAGCAATCGTCGGCATGTTGGAAAAGCTTAATCTCTGATGGGTAGTTTGGGACTTTTATGCCTTTTATATAGATGTTTCTGTTTATGTATGAAGCAAGGGGGATTATACATAAGGAATAGAGAATCATAGATAATGGACAACCTTGACGAATCGAACGGTTAATTTTAATATTTTGGGAAAAGGATCCATTTACTTGGACTTTACTAATCAAGTTTTTAAACAATATTGTAACCCAGTTTAGGATGTAATTTGGGAAATTTATATGTTTTAGGAGATTTTTAATATAGTTGTGTTCAATGCGATCAAAGGCTTTTTCTTGGTCAAATGATAGTATATAGGCACTGGACTTTGTGGTTATATAATTTAGGATTGCATCAATTGAATACAGGTTATCAAAAATGCTTTTATTTGGTCCGGCTCCAGTTTGTGTATTCGAGATTAATTTATTAATAACTGTATTGATTCTTGTGCTTAGAATTTTTGTGATGATTTTATAGTCGACACATAACAGGCTTATCGGTCTATAGTTCTTAAGTAATCGGTGGTCGCCTTTATTCTTATAATTAATTGTTATAATACCAGTTCTCATTGTGTTTGATAATTCACCCTGTAAATAGATGTTGTTTATTACTTCTGTTAAATCGGTTCCAATGGTGTCAAAGAATTTAATGTAGAAATCGCCTGGAATACCGTCGATGCCAGGGCTACGGTTTGTTCTGAAACTTTGTAACGCTTTGAGAACTTCATCTTTAGATATGAAATGAGACAGAGAATCTCTTTCCGTGTTAGTTAGAGTATTTATGTTACTGTTTTCAATATAGGAGTTTATTAGGTTTTCGTCAATGTTTTGAGATGTATAGAGTTGTTGGTAGTATTGGTGAATCGTGTCTAAAATATCTTGGGTTTTTTTTGTTTTTTTTTTTTTTCTAAAAATGTTGGACATATTTCAGTGGGTGTATAGGTATTTTATTTATATGACAGAGTGAGATAGTGCCATTTAACGAAAACGAAAGATGACTAAGATGTCAAATTGTGACAACTTAAAGTAAATAGCACGGTCTGTTTAGTCATATAGTAGATAAATTAATATGGAAGCTTCATACAGGACGATAACTTGCCTTATACAGGAGAATTCGGTAAGGCAGAGTAGGCTGAAGCTTGGTGATTTCGATTTTATTTCCTTTTGTATAATATTGGTTTATCAATTAAGCCAAAATTTTCCAGAATTTATATGGGGTAGGCCTACAGGTGTTTGGTTATTTTCGCTTGTAGGCCTACATTCTTACTAAAAATTGCAAAGAGTGCTCATATACGAAAGAATTATAAGAAGATGTCTATGGTTGTAGCTACTTATTATAGTAGCAAAGTCAATATTTCATAGGCTTAAGGAGGGTCATAAGGTAGTGAAGACTCGAGCTTAAGAGAGTAATCTTTATTTTTGTTTTCTTTTTGTATAGAATTGGTATATAAGCTCTTGTGAAATATTGGTGGATAGAGGGTGTGTTCGGTTAGACCATATGATCGACAGGTATCGGTATATATCATGAATGTATTTAGATTTTATATTGTGTAGATGGATTGTATTGTTGTTGATTTTGAATTCATTATCACGTCCACTTCCACCTAAGGTGATATCGTAGACTAGGCTTTCTTATACTGTGCAGCAATATCTGTCGCGTCAGATAGGCACGCCATAGTTAATAGCATTAGTAATCAGAACAATGCAAACTAATTATTAATAGTCACACATCTTAGCTGGAGACAAAAGGTGTCAATACGTGTTAAGCCTAAATCTTATATCATATAGACACTCCGAGTATACAAGTTTGACAAACCCATTACATCTTACATAATATTATGTCAACACCCCACACCTGATGCAGATTAAATTTTACAATTAATCTGTCACATGAGTTTCAAATGAAAAATATAAATTAAAATATGAAATCAAAATACGATATTAAAATTTAGATCCCAAATGATATTGTATTAGATGTCCTTGTCAGCCCCTCTGTTCTGCACTACTGACAAAGGGAAACCACGTCGGAAAATCTGGATGAACTTTCTCGGCCAATGCAGTGATCGAACACCCGACCTCCAGGCTAGCGAGCCATCGTCATAACCACCTAGCCACCGTGGCTCCCAGAGAGAGAGAGAGAGAGAGAGAGAGAGAGCTGGGGTTTAACGTCCACTCGACACAAACTAGGTCATTTCAGGACCTATATGGTTTAATTTTATTTCAATAATTCGCTTGTGCGTAGGGGTCTTTAGCAGTGGGAGGAAACCGGAGGACCCAGAGAAAACCAACGAGGTTGGACAGGCGACTCTACTCCTTGAAATCATCTCTAAACTATGGTCTTTGGTTATATAGGTGAGAGAGGGAGATGGTGTTAATTATGTGTCAATTGGATAAGCAGTACTTAAAAAGGAGATAAATGTACGTATGTACTGGCGAAAATTCTAACAAAATTGTTTGCTTAAAGTATGTTTAAAGAGAGGGATGGGAAGGGGGGAGGGGGTAACGTCCACTCAATACGCAGGTCATTTTGATACAAATATTTTATTAAAATAAGTGTTATAAAATTCGTCCTTATAAATAATAACATACAGTGACATTGATAACATATTATAACATGTACAATTTTATTTCAATAATTCACTTGTGCGCAGGACTTTAGCAGTGACATAGAGTGCTCGACAACTCAAGCGGAAAGCGAAGGATATAAAATATACTTAATAGGAGAAACTATTAAACACGGCCACATAGCTTCTCTTTCAATTGTAAATAACAGAAATATCTTAGTAGCCCCATAACTAAGCAACGCACCAAAAAACATAAATTCAAATTCAATTGATTTGGAAGGAGTTTATAAATCCATTCACGTATGCGTCACAGACACTTGAACTACTTGAAGGGATTAAAATAACTCTTTGACTAGTATTACTAAAAACACAAAGTCGTTGAATCGTTGAAGATGTTTCGTCTGCTATCGTCAGGGCCGTAACTAGCTCAGAGCAACGAGGGGTCGGGAAGTGTTCTCGGGGGTGGTGTAAAATTGACGGACAATGTATATATCTATTGTTTTTATGGTCGAAAATTTTTTTCACAGGGCTGTTACGGACCGGACTATCGTCTCATAATACTCACTAGTTCAAATACTCCCGTCATTTTTACTGCCAACGAGGCTTTATGTGATCATTATACACCTTCCAATGTAATTAAATTGATAATTTTACGGCATTATTAATTACAAATCCAACTTGACGCGTGGTCACTTCAATACAAATGACGGTAAGTGTTAGAACGATTCAAAACAATGTGGTGGGTGATTGACTTTGTGTTTTTAGTAATACTAGTCAAACAGTAGTAAGAAGTTTTATTTTAATCCCTTCAAGTGTCTGTGGTATGTGTTGGCCATAATTGTCTTAGCCGCTGTCTAGCTTGCTTGCTGGTTATAGACTGACGTCTGCTTCCACGGTGGTGATATCGCAGGCAATCCGTCGATCCATCATCCGTCGGCATTTACTAGTACACAAATTATGATATCTGAAAACGGCTTTCAGGAAATACCACTAAACCTGACAGTTATAAATGTAATTCTGCTGGTATATAGTTGTATAGATGAACCACATAAAGGCTTATAAGTATGCTTCTAATTGTGAAGGTAATTTACACAGAAAGTCAATTGTCTTATATTATATTACAATGACCTGAAAAGTCTCAAGATAACTGAATACTAAACTATAACACATACTTATGGAAGAACAATTACTGATTTATTTGGGCGACGTTTCGAAGAGTATTCTCTCAACGTTTTCAAGCAAGTACTTGAAAACGTTGAGAGAATACTCTTCGAAACGTCGCCCAAATAAATCAGTAATTGTTCTTCCATAAGTATGTGTTATAGTTTATTGCTCTATCCAGTTACTAAATGCCTCTAAAAGATCATAACTGAATACATTAGCCAATATTACCCGTTTCTTTTTTTTTCAACAGCCTAATTTCAACATATATCTCTCTGGGAGTAGTTCAACGAAATTATTTTTATATCTGGACGCCCAGTTCAGAAATTAACCAATTTAGCTTCTTCATTTATCAAGTCTCGAAAATAACATTTGGACGAACTTTTTGAAGAAAAATCAGGTTTTTAAAAATTCTTAAGGAAATGGGCCATAAAATTTAGAAATTATGTTCTTAAAATTATTAGCATAATACTTAATAGATTTAATATTCTAATATGTATTTTGTTTTCATCCTAATACGGATCAGTTCATTTTTTTCTTTATTATCTATAACTTTAAAGACTATAATTCAAAGACAATTCTAGCCAAATCCACAGTGCATAGTAAAAATATTATAGACTATGGGGTGTGCACGTACAAGAACCATTGCAATAGAAATTCGAAATAAGAGTTGACCGTAAAGCCGCTTTTCGGGTAAAATGTTCCTCATTGCCTATTTTATGACGTAAGACCGTCTTGATGGACTTTAAACCACATTTCACCCCATATTATATCATTTTTTCCAAACGCCTCTATCTTTTAAACTTTGTATGTAATTTAACAAAATTTGTAATTTCCAGATATTAATACCTAACCCATAATGGCTACCATCAAAACTCACCATCCCTTTTGTCATGTTATATGTATTGAATACTGGAACATTATATTTATATAAAACAGGCTCCATTTTAGCTATAAAACGAGGCACTTGATAATCTAATCTCAGGTTTAAAATACTCGGACAATGGGGCGTGGTCCACAATAATTTAGGCCATGTTTTATTACCTATTGTATTTACCACAGGTGCAATAAAATTTTTGGTAATATTTTGAACATTAAAACCGTCGTGAATACCAATACCAAACACCACTAAAGATTTCGGTGCATGCTTTATAGAATTTATCATTTTGACGAAGTTCGGACCGGAAGCGGATTTATAGTAATACGTGAACATTAGTCTAAACTGTCCATGACACAAATCCTTAACGTTGTGATCTAACTGACCTCTACATACCTTCTCTGTAAACATGTACATCCCTGTACACTTATCATGTTTAGCTGAAATATAAAATAACCAATATTAAAATAAACTAGAATGGTGTACTTCAAAATAGAATTTGTATAGCACAAAGAATAATTCAGTTAAAGTTCCTTTTGTACTTTAAAGTTTTATTTATGAGGGTCCTTTTATTGTTTATTCTCATAAATTACATGTAGATTTTTCTTCAACTGTGAATCGACAAAGAATCTTGAGACAGCTGGATTTGAAAACCATGCAACATGATAAAAAATTAAAGATACATTATGGGAGATTAGATAAAGAGCTGGTAGTTCTCACTATAATAGTTAAATACTAGATAATGTAATGGAAATTTGCTAAATAATTTCAGTCAAATTGATTCACCCTGAACCGAGTATTTATAACTTGTGTTGAATGATGAGCGAGGCAAGGCCCAAAATTCAATCTCTATATTCTCCGTTCAGAGTGGATCAATTTGACTGAAATTTTTAGCAAATTCCCTTTACATTATCCATTATAGTGAGAACTGTCAGGTCTTTATCTAATCTCCGATAATGTATCTTTAACATAATATAAGAAAGCGAGAAGTAAGAAAGTTAGACTTGAAATTTCTTCCATAGTTAGACTTTCAATGTCTTCCATAGGAGGTAGGTAATAGTTAGGGTTTAAACCAAGTTCATAACTTACCTTTCGGAACGCCCCTTTTCATAGCACCATCAAACGTATTATTTCTAAGAAATATAAGTAGTGCGGTGTAGAGATGTCGTATATAAGAATCCCCATTTAAATATAACGTAGCACCATCTAACAGTTGACAGGCTTCCGTATGATTATATCTCCTTATTTTACACCTTTTATCGTTAGGTTTGAAATCAGAATATTCACCGTGTTTATATGGTCTCATATCATAGCAATTCCTGCATTTACATTGTTCTGTTGTTCTTGATGAACACTTGTTGTTATAGCAACACGGTGTTTTACCGTGAGGATCACATACAGCTCGGAACCATTTCATTGCCGGACTGAAACTTAGAGGAAATGTCACGTTCCCGCACTTTAAATCAGGTCTTTGAAGTGGACTAGGTAACCTATGTTGAGTTCTGGAAGCGTTCAAAAATGTTACCATTTCTAAAGACTGTTTTTTTGTTAACGGTTTAGAATTCCAGTAACCGACAACCATTTTATCCAAAACACTTGGACATTTTTGATGATTATCATCATCTACCTTAGAGGTGCTTGAAGTCGATTGCTTAAGAGTTATAATTCGTGAATGTTTTACTTTGTCATACAGTCCATATAAGTAATTGCCATTCTTGTTTTCTTCTAATAAAATTACCACATATAATACGACCACAATGAAACAAATCTTGGAAATGGTCTTCATTGTAGTGTGACCCACCATAAATAAATATCTCCAAATATCTCGACAATTACGCCACAATATTTATATATATGCCAAGCCTCAAATCAGTTTCACACAATTATAGTCACTAAATAAACGATCAGGTTGTACTTAATAAGCTATGAGCATTAATCATCTATAAATAATAGACTGAAAACCGGTTCCAAGTGTCGTACATAACATCCAGACACTTTTGAGTAAAAGATAGGTTACGTGACCTTGTTTTGAAATTAGCCTCGCTTAACCAGTCGATCGACCATTCTACTTCTGATTAACAGGTCGGGATAATCAAGACTACTTTTTTTACGAAACATAACAGAAAGCTAGAACAAGAAATTGAATTTAGAAATACACTGTAAGCACTTTAGCCAACTCAACAATTGTTTTAAGAAAGTTGTAAAAGTAAAATGAAACTACTGCTAGTATCATGTTCCTGCTGAAGAAAGTGATTCAGAGATAGTATTTGTACTAAACCAAAAGATGCGGCTCTTAACGGTACAGTTAATGATAAAGCAATTTAAAAAATAAAACAAACGTAATTTCTAAAGCTGCTGTAATAACCAAGAAGCTAAATTTTACTGCTATTCAAAATCGTCAACAATAGATTTTTTTACGGCTGTAATAGTTGATATATTTGTAGAGAATTGCACGTGCCATGGCTATTTAACGACTCAAAGAGAGTGTGGGGTATTCAGAAATCAGTTCGAGACACGCAACTGAAGCGTGACTAATCGGGTTTTGATTCAGTAATTCGCACTTGTGTATGTTATAACTACACGCTTCATATTTAGGTCAGTTTATATTCTTTTGTCATTCGCTGGTACGTTCTCGACTTTTGAATCAATAGGTGTGGTTTATATATCACGACTAAAGCCATAAAGCTAAAACTGCGGAACAGCTGATGTGGCGTGAAAGGGAGAGTGTGGGAGGGTCACCCTGCCACTGTTTTGGCATATTTTACGGGGTTAAACTAAAACATCACACCAAAATTGGGATATGTAAAGGTTTTATACAGATAGAGGGGGGTTGGATGGCCGAATGGTTAGCACGTGTGCGCTGTATCGTAAGGCCTGTCATTGAGTCAACTGGCGTGGTTTCGAATCCCCGTTTGTACGTGACAAGGAGTGGGGTCGCCTGTCCAGCCTCGTGGGTATTCTCCGGTTCCTCCGGTTTCCTCCCACTGCTAAAGACCCCTACGCGCAAGCGCATTATTGAAATAAAATTAAAAAACATGTTAGTCCCGAAATGACCTAGTCTGTGTCGAGTGGACGTTAAACCCCATTTCTCTCTCTCTATACAGATAAAATCTTAACTAATCCTAATAATTGTTGTAAATAAATAGAAGTTAGGGCCTACTATGTAAACTTATTAATTATTTATTTTTTTTTTTTTGGGGGGGGGGGGGGCAAGTAAATTCAGATCTCCCCGACCCCCCATGTGTGACGCCCATGGACCTGTGTATTGAGTGGACGTGACCCCTCCCCCTCCCATTTCTCTCTTTAAAAGTACTTTAAACAAACAATTTTGTTCGAACTGTCGCCAGTACATACGTACATTTATCTCCTTTTTAAATACTACTGATCCAATTGACACATTTTTAACACCGTTTCCCTCTCTTACCTATGATTTATGCTGAAATAACGTCATTTAAAAAAAAATATTTGTTTCAAGGGCTAGAGGTTTCTTCAAAATTCAACCATTCCTTTGAACATTAAAAGGGGGATCACGTGGCTAAGTGGGTAAGACGCTGGCTCGCTAGCCTGGAGGTCGGGTGTTCGATCCCTGCATTGGCTGAGAAAGTTCATCCCGATTTTCCGGCGTGGTTTCCCCTTGTCAGTGATGCAGGATGGGACGAAAAACCAGTGATATTATATATCACATGGTCAATATACGATCAAATCAAATGAATGAACAAAGCTTGTCCAAAGATTTACGGACAATTGGCTATACAGAATAATTTAGAAACTAATTTTTGATATCAAAATTAGCAATGTCCATTTAAAAGAGATATTTGGTTTGAAAGTTAAAAATATTGGGTTTACAAGTCTAAATATAGTTTTTAACAACATGGCGCCAGTTTTGGTAACAACGAATAGTTTTAAATAATATCATGTAACCGATATTTGTATTAGGCCATAATATATTACTAAGTGTGGTCAAGGTGACTTGTCCGACATTATTTCATTTGACCCAAAATCCCCCACCCCCCTTCCGCATTACTTGTACTGTGTAATCGGGCGTGGTATGTTTCCGATGGGCCGAAAACCCTTAGGGTCCCGTGTACATTCGAAATAAGAGCAAGGCGTGAACCGAATATCCTTCATAAAACACCGCATGTCGTCTGTCCGTCTTCATGGATCCAGATAGAGCGGACGAGTATGACGTTCAACAAAATAAGGGAGGTAACTATCTTTAACTGGAGGCAGACCACCATTAAATTTCATCATCTCGGTACCCAGTTCGTCTATTTATAGCAATTCTCTCTCTCTCTTTTCTGCAGGGCTGTCGGTAATTTTTCACAGTTGATTAGCAGCACTGCTAATCAAAAAGTCCAATTTTGCCAAATTTGATTAGCAAAGCTAAAAATTGGTTAGCAGTTTTTCAGTTTCAACATAAAACAACCCAAATAACTAGATATTACTTTAATTATGATTAGATTTCATCCTTCCAGTTTTTTTTAGCACTGCCACATGTAGTTGTGACAGTTTGTGAATGTGATGTAAACTTTTGGTTAGGTCTTATGTCTGAAGCCAATTCTTGGTCTTCCGATGCCCAACTCATTTTAATTGTTATTTCTTCATAACTTTAGAAATCTTCGTTAGAAAACAATTTCGTCTGCTTTTTATCGTGTATTACTATTTTTGTTCAATCGGGCGCACATCGATTAACTAGACAAACGCGCAATAATATTTTACGGGAATTCTTACTTTGATTTATCATTTTACAATACGTTAACACGTATTTATTTTTTTTATACTTTATTTACAATACGTGGTGGATACACTGGGTTTACTGCTTTCAAAATGCATACTGATATAATTACTTGAAATTGACATGTCTCGCAACGTGAGTGGTACTACTTGATTCCCTATTTCCGGTTTAATAGTCCCTATTCATAGAGAGTTATGTCCCTGTATTATATTCATTGATATTGTATTATGAATTGAGTCTGGGTAGTCCGAGAAGAAAATGTCACACGGATAATTCAGTTTTGTTTATAAAATTTTATTTGACATTTTATACACGTTGAAAGTGTTGAGAAAGCCTCCTAGTCTTCAAACTGTGGATAATCTTTCTGTCAATATCCAAAATGGCAGGCATATTAATGATTCGCAGTTACTGCGAATCAAAAACGTTAGATTTTAATTTTTGATTAGCAACGGACAAAATATGTATCGCAATTTGCGCTGCGATACTGGTTGTCGGCAGCCCTGCTTTTCTCCCCTTTTGCATGCCCATTTTTGTTGATGTTTTGGTCTAGAATGGACGAAGAGGGTTTGAATTAACATTTTCTGCCAGGTTTTGGTAAATATTCATGATTTTGAGGCGGAAGGATAAGAGGGTTATCAGGTTAGCTTCGGCGATATGTACGGCAACTAGTTACATGTTTTTAGTATGCTTCTTCAAGTTTGTGTATCTCAAAATTTTGGTGGTCAACCTCATACAAATTTTAGTGCAAAGACATGACCATTTGTTCCTCTGTCTGTAGTGAAAAGCATTCAGCCCAACGAAAATTTGGGGAAAAGTTGGAGGTGGGCAAAGAGGCCAGAATTAACATTGAAGTCAATGGGGAAATTAATGGTGGTCTGCCTCCAACTGCCCAATATGGACTAAGACTAGTAATTATTTTCCTTTATTTCTTGATGGTGCGAGTTATAAATAGACAATTTTTCCCTTAGTTTAACCCCCCCCCCCCTTCCTGCATTTTTTGGTTGACTTTTTGGTCTAGAATTGGAGAAAAGGGATCAAATTTGCAATTTCATAGCAGTTTTGGGTAATACTGATGATATTACAGCGGAGGGATAGGGGGTGTAAAGTGTCTATCTGCAGAGCAATCATTGTGTCGAAAGTGAGATTTTCACCCCAGTCAACTTCAAATCCCCGTAGCAAAAAATCTAAACGGTCAACCCCCTACAAAATTATGATGAGGAGATTGCCAACTGTGGCCCCCATTGTGCCTATAAAGATTGGAACCAACGGAATGTTGAGCAAAGAGCTACAGCCTGTGATGTTACAGCCATTTAACATTGAAGTCAATGGGCAAATAATTGTCAGTTTGAGTCCTTCTATATGGAGGCAGACCACAATTTTTTACATCTTTTATTAATATATATATAGGATGAGAGAGAAAGAAGTATGATTTAATGACCACTCGACACAAACTAGGTTATTTCGGGACAAGCATAAGGTTCAATTTTATTTCAATAATTCGCTTGCGCGTAGGAGGTCTTTAACAGTGGGAAGAAACCGGGTTACCCGGAAATTAGATATGCGACCATACTCCTTGTCACGTATAACCGTGGAATCGAAACAACGCCAGTTGACTCAATGACAGACTTTATGATACAGATATACTTCACAAAATTTTAATGTATACCACATGTACTTGCATTTCTTAACAGAGGACAATTGATTATCCATCCCAAGTTAGTTTAAACAAGCTATGTATGGACCATTATCTTCAGCTTCAATTATCCCCTTGGGTTCAATTGCCTTGTCATTATCAATGCAAATAACGAAATTTACACTTGAATCTAAATTTCTAACTGGATACCATTCAAGTGTTGCCATTTATCAACATCGCCTTGACTTGATATGTCGTCATCAGATATTGGTAATTGCGGTCTTGAAAATACATTCTTCAGCTCAATATAATGTTTCTGATTAATGTCGTAAACTTCTAACATTCAATGCCCCTATTTTCACTATCCATAATGGTTTGTGAAATCTTCTTCTAACATGTATCACCTTTAATCTTCAGACGATCAAGTATTTCATCCGTTCAGAATTTTCCAGTACTTTCTGAATCTTGCAGAGCATACGTCTTCACTTTATACTCAGTATATTTTGATTTGACATCAGGAAGTATTTGGTAAGCCCATGACCCTTTTTGATAGATGTGGTAGAATGAAGTACATGTAAATGTGAATGCCTTTTACCACAAACATTGCATGAATCTAGCTTGATGATTTGTGTCTAGCATGCCAGACCCTGTCAAAAGCTTTACTGATCTCACAGAACACTGCTCTCGTGTGGAATCCCTGATCAATGGTTTGACAAAAGTAGTGTGCAATATCGGTAAGTTGGTAAACACTAGAATCCTCATGCAAAAAGCCGCTTTGAAGGTTAATTAGAACAGAATTCTGCCTTAGAAAGTTGAAGACATATTTATAAATGCATTTTTCGAATATTTTAACTAGGATACTAAGTAGTGATATGGGTCTATAATTTCCACAATCTGATGGGTCACCCTTTTTAATATGGCAGTTACATTAGCAAATTTCCAGATATTCGGTACTGTTTTTGATGAAAGTGAGTGGTTAAATAATTTAGATAGAAGTTCAGAGATTTCGATGGATACCAGTTTTATTAGTTTTCTGCTGATGTTATCGGGTCCATTGGCTTTCGAGGGATCAATAGTAGTAATGATGTCTTTAACTTCCTTCTGGCTGAGGATAATGTTAGTTAGAGAGTTGGGTATTCTTTCTAGTACAGGAAGTGGTGCATTGTTGCCATCTATGTTAGATTGGCTATGTTAGATTATTATACTGAGCGCCATGGAAAACGCATCGCTTAGTTTTTGGTATAACAAAATGATCCTGTAAACATATCTTTTTTATTTTGCTTCTTATTGTGAACAATATTCAAATGGGAACACATCAATAACAACACATTTGTACACTTATGGATGTTTAATCTGTAATCAACGGTACAAAGTCAGAGGGGTCAAAACCAAAAGTACGACACAGATGTCAGTAGCGCGTGTCCTCCACGGGCTCTTACGCACGCTGTGCAGCGACGTCGCATGGAATTAACCAATGTCTGGTGTCCATGAGCCCATATCAAACGCCGCTGACGGTGATGATCCCTGAGGATAGCTCCAACATAAGGTTGTCGTGCACGGAGTCCTACTTTTCTTAGACGACGTCTTACGGTGTTGCCACTTACTGGTCCTTGTCTTCCGACGACTGCTGCACCTGTTCGAGTCGCTGGGCGGAAACTGTCACGCAGATGAGCGACCCGGATGTAGCGGTCTTGAGCCTGGGTTGTAACGCGTTGTGGACCAGGACGTTGACGGCCACGTGTTGATCCAGTAACTCGAACACGTTCCACCAACCTTACAATAGTGGACTGATGACAATTGAAGTGTCTGACAATAGCACGTGTAGACATGCCAGCCCTGGACATTCCCATGGCTTCATTCCGTTGATTTTCAGTAAGTCTCGGCATCTCTAATTCGATTCCTTCATACGACAGATTGACGTTTCACAGTTCATGTACTGCACATTAAGTTGAAAACATGCTTTTAAAGGCCTCACACACAATGCTGCACGTGAATATTGGGTTTTTCATGTGCATCTCGTGCAATTTTTTTTTGTGCACACGGGCCGATATCTTTTGCGTTTAGGAGCATTGTGTGAAACAATAGTTCATAGAATTGCATAATATTATACATACAAAACCACCTAGTAATAAAATATTTGGGAAAAAAAGTGATGCGTTGTCCATGGCGCTCAGTATATAATAAAGAAATCGTTAAGGCAGTTACATTTGTCGGATATGTAGTGTCGGCAGTTCATTCCTGGTGCCAGCACGATTATTTTTCATAAATGAGTTGACAAGCCCCCCCCCCCCCAATTTTTACTTCTAAAGTTATTGCAATTATTGATTTTGTTATCGTTGTTTACATTTCAATGATTGACTAATTAAAGACACCTGACCAGTATCTAAGTCTAAATATGGTGCATAGAACAATATTTTTGTTACCAGAAATGTCAAATTCCAACCAGACGTGTATTTTCACATTATTAGACATATCCAATACACTTTTTTCAATTATGGTTCCTAAATTAGGAGTTTAGGGGGTGTCACTTATGTTGCCACCATGCAGCTCTGGGTGGCGATAGGGCACACATTTGATGCCACTATGCACAAATGGAATGAAATAAAGGCAAAAGGAAATGTCAAAAAATGCAAAAAAATATTGTTCTCAGGTGTAATATTGACATTCTGTGAACTTTATCAACAATTTTGTCAACTTTTAGCAGTGTGCGGATGTTTGGCCAATCCAAACAGAAGACATTGCACTAACATAACCAATGACTGATTGTCTGAACTTGAGGAGAAACTACTACAAAGACATTTTCTCTGTCCTACAAGCAAGGCATATACCAGACCAACAGTAGGCTCCACCTATCTTATCCCTTTGCTTATGAAAGTCATAGTAGAGCAGCAGGATGTCCCGTCGAAGCAGATGAAGACCTCGCATTTCACACACATTGTTCTACAACACCTGGAAGAACATGTTGCGCACTTGCATCTTGGTGCATTTTTTGACTGCATTACAGCAGGGACATGCCCAACATTATCATACCTTATAGCATACCGGCAACATATGTGACATGCATAAGGTCACTACTGTATCATAGTGGCCACATACGTGGCCAGTCAATAAAATACCCCCTAGTTTATTTCTTATTCTTTGACAAATATTGACTACTATTTCTACATGTTCTGAAACAAACATTTTACCAAACTGATATAGATTTTCACTTCATATCCCCTCCATGGGGACATTATTGCACTTTGTCGGTCGGCAAGTCAAACTCACCTACTTTCATTGGGGGCTGACATGTTGATTCTGCACCCGGCTATCACAGGGCCATCTATCAGCGATAAAATAATCTAAAGATGGCACTGTTTGTGGCCAGCATGCAGTTAGAAGTGAATGTGTATGTGCTCCCCCCAGTTAACACCCCTAAACACTGGCCACATATGTTACCGGGATGCAAGAAAGGGTTAAAGAATACGTTTCCATAGTAAAATAACCCACCAAGTGTGATCGCTTAATAAAAAATACTGTGGGGATAGAACCTAGGAACTATTGACATTTTTATTCAGAATATGCATTTCTATTTGTCAAAGCAAATATTTGTTTTCATGTTCATGAGCAAAATGTGTCTTCTGATAACATTATTGTTTGGTTTCAGCTACAAGGCTTATCGATAGACACCTCTTATGATTTAAGCGGTATCAAATGGGCAATGACCGTCCTCGGTGGTTATCTCCTAAGAGGTACCAGTCATGTGAGCATAGATGACTGACAAGTGGTATATCCCACACCATGGTGTGTATCATTCAAGAAGACCAGAGAGGTTGCGAGTTGTTTCGATTGGCTAGTCATGTATGATGGTATATCACTTAATCTACAATCTGAATAAAATACAGATCTATATCTCGTTTCGTTTTTATACGCCCACAATTTCATGTGGACGTATATTGTCGTCGCCCCTGTCCGTCCGTCCACAATTGTTTGTGAACAGTCTACAGGTCACACTTTTTATCCGATTTCAATGAAACTTGAAATATAGGTTTATCACCCTGTAACTTCATGGATTGTGGCCCCTAATTGTACGAAAAATCACGTTATTAGCTGTGAACACTGTAGAGGTCACAATTTTTATCCGATTTATGTATGAAATGTATGATTATTACCCAAAGATCTCGGCCCCTTTCGATATTCGCGCATATCTGAACGTAACTTCCTGAATTATGGCCCCTGATTGTACGAAAAATCGCGTTTTTAGCTTGTGGACCCTAGAGGGTATTAATTTTTATCTGATTTAAAAAACGTATTATTATATCACTGTTAAACCCTAAGGACAGCTGAGTTCGAATTTCGTGAAAATCGGCCCAAAAACTGACAGATAAAATGGCCGCCAGTCGTTCTCAAATAGCGTAAAAATATGGTATATCAAGGTTGTGGACAATATAGAGGTCACAATTTTTATCCGATTTTTTTTAAACTTGAAATGTAAGTTTATAACACGAGGATCATGGTTCCTTTCAATATTCGCGCATATCGGACCGTAACTTCCTGAATTATGGCCCCTGATTGTACGAACGAAAAATCGCGTTTTTAGCTTGTGGACCCTATATAGGTCATAACTTTTATCCGATTTAAAAAAAAACGTATTATTATAACACCGTTACACCCTAAGGGCGGTTGAGTTCGAATTTCGAGAGAATCGGCCCAAAACTGACAGACAAAATGGCCGGCCTTCGTTCTCAAATAGCGTAAAAATATGGTATATCAAGGTTGTGGACCCTATAGAGGTCACAATTTCAATCCCATCTTGATGAAACTTGAAATGTAAGTTTATAACCCAAAGATCTCGGTTCCTTTCGAAATTCGCGCATATCGGAACGTAACTTCCTGAATTATAGCCCCTGATTGTACGAAAAATCGCGATTTTAGCTTGTGGACCCCATAGAGGTCATAATTTTTATCCCATTTTGTTGAAACTTGAAATGTAATTTTATAACCCAAAGATCTCGGTTCCTTTCGATATTCACGCATATCGGACTGTAACTTCCTGAATTATGGCCCCTGATTGTACGAAATATCACTTTCTTTTTAGCTTGTTCTCTATCCATCTCTCGAAATCTGACCGATTGTTGTAAAACGTCGCGTCAGAGGTCGTACGAATGGCGTTTGACAATATGACGTCAGACTGATTAATCAATCAGCGTTGACGTTTCTAGTGGTTTACCCACAATTCCAAGCATCGCATGCCAGCATGCCAAGAAGTCGCCTTGACAGATGGTTTCATTGACTAATCCCTCACGCCATCCAGAACGCAAGTTATATAACAACTCTTCCAGAACTTCCAGCTTAAGTTACAGCTATGTCAAGGACCTGATATGACAAATACACTAACATTTGTTTTAGTTCGCTTCCGACAGGATGGTACAGCTATTATAGGTGATACAGAATAATGTTCTACCAGGTTCGAGTATTTGAGCTTGACTTTCTGGGGTTTCTATGGTTACCCATTGGAGACACTAGTTGTATGCCAAACACGTATAAATTGTGCATCACTTTGGTGCTGTGTCACCCCCGTCACATGCGAACTAAGCTTTGCGTCAAACGGCGGCAGTTCTCATTTGTTTGATGACTAGATGATTGTTCGAATGCCGTAAAAATTGTTAAAGAAATGTGCGCTATATGATTTAGTTAGCGTAAAGTTATCACACGAGACGCGGAATATCATCTGCGGTTAGCTCTGTTTATGACCCACTAGGTCTCGTTTCACCTTTCGTTTTGCCTGAAAAGTTCTTACTATAATCGCTGTGACAACAGAATCTGCATGATTTTCAGCCATTCCATAACATCCTGCCCGACTTAGAAAATTTCAGGATTTCAAGAAGTTATAAACCAGCGAATTTCTGAATGATTATTTCATCTCAAATTCATGCGCTTTCCGATGCGAGTAACATCGAGCCGGTTTTGGCACGTTTGGCCAATTTCACCAAATTAGGTCCCGTGCTAGAAAGGGATATCACAGTTCAGTTCACCAACACCTAAAATTTTCCAGACTGTCTTTGAGCAAATTTTAAAAGATTTCGCAGAGAAATAATCAAGAAAAGTGACATTATAAACGTTTCACAGTAATATTATAGCTTGTGTTGATATAGTAGGGTATCATTATGAATGACAATATAATTAAGATTAAAAATTCAGAACTCCTATTAATACTTTAACCATATACATATATTAACCAATTACTATTTGTGGGGTAACGCATATTTAGCCCTAAATATGAATTAATGTTGGACTAGTTAAAGTTATTCATAGTCCTCAATCTATTCGTATCTTGTAACTTCGAACTTATTAAAGATACATTATGGGAGATTTTTATAGAGAGTTGGCCATTCTTGCTATAACAGTTCAAAAGTAGATGATGAAAGAAGAATATATTGAAAAATTCAGTCAAATTACTTTATTCTGAACATAGTTATCATCGTTGTAATATTTGCCTAGGAATGGTAGCGAAATGTGTCTTCACCTTCGCCGGTCGTTTGATTGACAGGCGTTAACTCCACCTACATATCTCGATTATCAAGTAAAGTTTTCAATGGCATACGGAAACGCTTTGCAGCGGCCTCGCTAAGTACACTTTATCATTTAGCTTGATCTAACTGACGTATTTTCATCAGGTTACCCCTTATCTGATTTAATCAATTAGTGAAATCCTATTTAAATCCGAGCTGTAGCCGAGCCATCCGTGGGTCTACAGAGTTGATTTTGGTCTTGTTGTTTAAATAAAGATCTAATTTATAATTTCTATAACATCTGAAGCCTAAATTAAGACTTGCAATAATCAGATTTAGCTCTTGCATAATGCATGTTTAATTGAGCCCCGCATTTTCTACAACCGACCCTGGGTAAAATGAATTAATACTCGTAAATAAAAAGTGTAACATTTATTGCACGTTGATGTTTAGTAAATCTCGTTTTGCTCCACTTAAGAAATTAACTATGTCACGATTAGAATTAACCGCGGATACCGTTGCTGTTCGTATGACTACTACGATTGTGAAAGAACTAGGAATTCCAATTGATAATATGTTTTATTGGGCTGATGGTATGCCAATCTTACGGTACTTTAGAAATGAAGGCGCCCGTTACTTAACATTTGTTGCAAATCTTATTTCTGTGATGTTTGATTAAAATAACTATAAACTAAGAGTCAGACAATAGACACACCCACAATATTTGTATTGAATTTGTAAGTAATCCATAATCTCAAGTATTATGCAGTATAAAGATAGACAAGCTCTAAAAACACTTGTTTTGATTCGAAATTTTATAGAGAATTCTAAGTAAGAAATCGATTATGTGAAGTACTATAAAATATCATTATTCCATTTTGATCGGGCGGTACTTTCAGGGACCGTGCAATATAAAAACATTTACATATTCATAAAATTTCTTCATTTCTCATAAAATTATCATAAAATAGAAAAATATTATAACAAATACAAAATTTCACTATATCTCAGTGAATACGAAATCAGTTTTCATTATTCCATAACAATAAAATTTGTCTTTGTAAAATAGGCTTTACTCAGTCGGATCTGTCTGATGTTCTCTCGTAAAGTTATAAATATAATACCATCTAGTCAGTATGTGCTTTGATAAATGAAACAATAAATGATTTTATTAAAATACAATAAAGTGAAAATACTTTGATGTTTCACTAAAACAAAACTGTTAAAGATGTATTATCACCCACAGTGTTATTTTGATAACACAAACTCAAATATGGTATTAAATGTACAGTATTTGTGATGTAGTGTGTTTTCTGCATTGTATTGGTATACACCAATAAAGGCAAGGGTCCGGATTTTCTGACGTCGTTTCCCCTTGTCAGTGGTGCAGGACAGAGGGCCTGACAAGAAAAGGTGTCTAGTCGTTCGGATGGGATGAAAAACAAAGATCCCGTGTATACATTGGCGTGCACGTAAAAGATCCCTCGGCAGTTGGAATTCGATATAAGAGTAGGCGATAGTGCCGCTGCCCTGGAAAAACTTCCCTCATAGCACACTGTATGGCGTTGGCCCGTCTTCATTAGCACAGTACGACGTTAAACCCCATTTCATTTCATTGCAAGTCCCCGGTGGCCGAATAGCCGAAATGTTTATACTCTAACTGAGAGGATTAGAAAACAAATGTAAACTAGATAAAATTCCAGGGCCCTTATTCACGAAAACTTAAACTAAGATACAATCGAAATTTTAAGAAATACTGCAATTCGATTGGCTGACCAGTAAAATTCGATTGGCTGACCAGTACAATCAATTTGCAAATATATCCAATGAACCCATCTACTTCATCTGTCCGCCATTAGTAAATTGTTACTTGGCACACACAAAAATAAATCTATTCAATTCCATTTAATGGAAGCAGAAAAAATACTCAAAGTATGCTAAGTGTTATCGACAAAAATCGTCGACTCAAGACTTAAAATGTCGGTAAACTAGCTTCGTGCGTGTCTGTTCTCAAGCGGAGCTAACTGTAGACAAGCAGCCGAAGTTTAATGGACTTAAAGGAGATAAGTCGCTAATATTTGGGAACTAGAAATTGAAACAAATGGGTCGCAACGCATACAATAATGTAATATGAATGTATATAAATTGATTTACATTCAATTGTTTCTGTTTTTACTGTAATTTCTAATCAGTTAGGTTCGGCGAAATACGCTAGTATTCTCAATCGAATTTCAATCTCTAGCGTCTGGTTTTTCCAGTCTACGCCGATAGTATTTATTGGGCATGCTCTCCAGATAAGAATATAGCGTCACCGTTTGACTTGACTTGTGGAATATGCATAGCCTCGTTTTTCTAGCCCCTT